ATAAATACATATATATGTAAAACAAAAAAAAAAAAAAAATCAAAAAAATATCATATACTGTATAATGTATATGGGTATGTGTATAAATAAAGCAAGCAGGAAAGAAAACGAAAAATACAAAAGAAAAAAAAAAAACTAAATCAAATGAAAAACACACACAAATATACCTATTTATGTAAATCTATTTAAATATGCTAAGAACAACAACAACAACAACACTCGGTGTGCAGCTTGCGCTATGCTTCTGATCGCCCCTGCCACGCCCCGCTTTAGTTGTCTACCAAGGAGAACCTTTTATTAGCAAATCTTTAGCTTTAAGCTTTAAACAGTTTCAACTGCTTTTGTTGCACAGGACAATGAGRAAACCCCAAAACAATTAATTAATTAATATAAATGTGTATAAATGTATAATTATTGTTACCTAGCAAATTTAATGAGAATTCTTACGTATATACGAATATCGAATGAAAACAAACAAAACCACAAAACAAAACAAGCTGAAAAGAAACAGATAATTGCTTAGAAGCATACTAGATGAAAATGCTATTAATTTGTAAGGCCAACGCAATGTTCTCATTTTAATTTATAAATTAAACGACAAAGAAACAAAACACACTGTAAAGCGAGTATAAATAAATTTTAATAAAATTTGTATAGAAAACAAAATTGCAATTTTTATTTGAAAAAAAAAATAAAAAAAAAAAATAAATAAATAAATAAAAATGTGAGAAAATAACTGAGCAATATTTCTTAGCTTCGATATATTTCTTCCCTAGGCTTGAAGCAAGCGAATGATCTGGATCTTGTATGCCTTGTGTGTGTACCTTACGCAGTACATATTTTTTCGATAACTCATCCTAAACCTTTTTTATCGAGAATGTTCGAAAAATTTATTTTGTTTTTTCAGCCTAATTTGAACACCTTTAGACCTGGAGACCTCCGATTTGCTGGGTGTATACATATAATGAATACAAACATTTTGTAATTTTCAGATTTTGAATACCCTTCGCCGCAAATTTGCGCTTCAAGTACTAGAGACTTTTCCTTTGGAATGAACACACATTTCACCATATGATTACGCTCTGAAGTTTCATTATTGTATTAATTGTATGTCTATTTATTGATTGTATGTCTATACAAGAAATTATTCTACAAATAAATTCTCATAATATTGCCCACACTGCAGCGCAGTCGCTGCTTGCTGCGCAGTTAGCAGAGCGCGGGCTTATGCGTGCGTGTGGATGCATGTGTATGTATGTGTGCATAGGGTATCTCGTAGTCGAGCAGTCTGGACTAGAGCCCTCTTACTTGTTTATTATTGACATAATATTTATGTTTTGCTTGGAATCTGATAACTAGTTTTCACTTGAAAAAAGAATGAAAATCAAGAGCACTCGCTTGCAGAGGCTCGTTTTGTGGTAATTCAAGATGCAGCAGTCGAATGTGCTTATTGCAATTGGCCAGAGCCAAAGAGGCGGCTGTTGTGGCTAGATGTGGCCAAAAGCAGCTTGCCAAGGGCGCAAAGCACAAAGCACAAAACACAAAGTGCTGCGAATTAAATGTCTGCCATACACGAAATATGCTGAGATGGGGCTGGGGTCGTCTGCCTGTAGATGGGACGGCGATAGCGGCGGGGCAATGTATGGGGTGGCAGGCCCCACAGGGCAGCGTCAGAGGTTGGCACGGATGCTTTTTGAGGGCATATGAAAGTCTATATATGTACGTGTGTGCGTGTGTGCATGGGTGTATGTGTGTGTAATGCCTAGACAATTGCCAAGACGGCGGTGGCTTGGTCGCGCGTTGACACAATTTGACAGTTAGACAAACCCGAAACGAAGAGCAAATTTATAAACGACAAGCAGCAAAATTAATGCAACTGAAAAGACAAATTAATGCGCAGTGAAAGCCAAACAGCAGCAGCAGCAGCAGCAGCAACAACAGCAACATCAACAGCAACAGCAACAACAATGCGAGCGAATGCAGCGCATGGCGCGGCTTGGTCAGATAATCACTTAAAACTTTTGGGCTAAGCCCTTTTAGGAGACCTCGGGCTCAAAAACAAAAAGCTTGTATAAAAACTACAACTTTCATTTGGGCTGCGTGCGCTCAATTTGTCTAAGCTGCCCTTTACCCCACCTTGATGTGCCCCTCCTCTGCCCCACGGCACTCTATGGCTGCTCTGGAGTGCTGCTGGAGCTGCATTGTTGGCCGCTTTGATTGATGACAGCTAATTGCAGCCTCCGAATAAAAAAGAGAAATTATCGGTGTGGGTGTCTCTCCCCCTCCCCCTCACCCTCACCCACTTGTCCGCCACCCGTTGCAACGGTAGCTGCGTGCAGCACCATGTCAAACTGAAAGGGGTTCTAATCCGCTTAGATAGGTGAAAGCGACTGCAGTGCGGCAAGATACCCACCCGATGCATGCCGCCTGCGGCAAGCCCATCTGTCTCCTCCTGCCACATGCCGTGCCAATAAATTGACGCACAATTACTGCTCAACTAGGCGCCAACAGCCAACAGCCAACAGCCAAGAACCAAGAGCCACGAGCCTAGAGACAAGAGCACCGCACGGTGTGTGAGTTATGAGTGCCAAGTGATAAATTTGCAACAAGCGGCACATAAATTCATTTTTACATATTTGAATTTTTTTTCTGTCCCCGGTATTTGTTTTTCGTGTTTCATGTTTCATTTTTCGTTTTTATTATTATTTATGTTGCGCCCTGTTGCAGAATAAAGATAAAGCTGATTGAATGATTTAGTCTAAGCATGATTGCAGATTGAAGATCAGGCAGGATCACAACTCGCCAAGGACCTACTCAATGAGCACTATATCGGCGAGGCAGAGGGATATGTATATGTATGTATGACAGACACAAATCTCTAGTTTATTGTTCCGATGTGTGTCATATGTCCTATGGATCGTCATTGATACAAGAGCTTCTCTTAAACCACATATGGGCGATTCTCTAGTGGCGAATGTGACATTTGTACGTTTTTGAGTTGAAAAAAAAAAAAAAAACGAATGCCAAAACATTTTTTTATTTTGACGAATAGTGAATCTTTTAGCTCTTGATTAGCTCTATAATTGGTGCTTAATTTGATTTTAGGCAAATGTTAGTTATCAAGATAATCATAACAAACTAAGAGGTTCGCAGGCTACAAACAACGTAAGTCGCTTTTTTTTTAAATCTGGGTCGAAGGTGACGTGTCGATTGAGACATTTTTTCCACCATACTTTGTTTTTTCTAATATTGTAGTAATTTTATTTGAATAAAAGCATTCGAAATGATTTTCAATGTATTAAATTTATTAATTATAATAAAATAGAGAAAATTCAAAGTATTATATTTCATTGCATAGTGTCTCAATAATAAGAACAAAATCGGCTTTGTGTCTCAATATTTCGAGATGTATTATGATAAAATGTTAAATTGGTTTATATTAGTTAAATTATAAAAAATATGTTAGCAGAACATGCTTTCATTGACTTTGAATGTTTTGGCTGCGGTTGACCTTTCTGGAGAAATGCCCATATGTCTTCAATATACAACATTCAGAGTATTATAGGAAGATGTATTTTAAATGAATTTATTTTATTTTGTATTATTAGTTTAAAATCTCCATAGAATGTTAACTGTTTGGTCGTCATTTGAGCTCAAACTGTGCTTCCTCTTCATGGCAAGCCCTAGATTTCTTTGCATTATGCTTATTGATCGTTGTAGATTCCTGATTCTAATATTGCTAATGGGATAATATGATCATAACCTATTATTATTATAAAAAATGAAACATAATAATTAAATTATATGTATATATGTATAATTTAAAAAAAAAAAAAAAAATAAAAAAAAATCAAATGTTAAACAAAATCGTCAATGGAGATGCCGGGGATTGAACCCGGGGCCTCTCACATGCAAAGCGAGCGCTCTACCACTGAGCTACATCCCCTTTGATGATCTTCGGTGTAAAATCTCAGCAAAAATCCATGAGAACCTAAAAGTTTCTTTGTTACCTTTCCAAGTAAAATATACGTAATCCTATATGCACTTTATTAGTTAATTAGTTAGTTAAGTAGTTAGCCTAGAAATAATTTAACTTTGTTATTATATGCAGATGTAATTAGTTCAATACTTTCCCAGATAGACGTAAATCGATATTGGTATTTTTCCGTAAAGCAAACACGAGTATTAAGCTTAAATTATGACAGTATTTTATTTTGCTGATCTAAAATAAAAAACGGTTTTTTCGTTTATTTCTCATTCCACCTTCAAATGTTGTAGATACTTAGCACTAATTCTGTTTTGGGCTACAGCATTCCCTGTTGCTTTAGCTGTTGACGCACTTCTTTCATCCATTTATCGCACTTCAGTTTTAGTTACACATATTTTGTTGTTGTTCTCGTTGTTGCTGTTGTTGTATCTTCAACATCTTTAACATTGCTGCCATTTGCTATGCCTCAACAGCGACAGCAACAACGAACGAACTATTCCGGAAAAAAGTAGGTTACTTAATTTTTATTTTCTTGCATTTCAAGCCAGCAGCACCAATACCAATACGAATAGCAATTCGTTTACCAATACCAATACCGATACGAATACCAATGCCAATACAAACAACAACAACAAGAGCAACTCAAGCCAGCTTTACATTTATGCATCTATCGGTCTATCTTTTTTTTTTTTTTATTTTTTTTTTTTTTTTAGCACAGATTGAGTAAGAGTTTGTTGCTGTTGTTGTAGCTGGCTCTGTTTGGCTTATATTTAAAGCCATGCCTCGGCCCCATTGCGGACCCCTCTTGACTCGACGGCAACAGCAGCAGCAGCAGCAGCACCACCACCACCAGCAGCGCTGATCGTGTGGCCAAATGCTGCGGCAAGCGTGGTTTCACTTTCTATGCCTCCGACTTTTGCTATCTACCAACAGCAACAGCAGCGGCAATATCGGCAGCAGCAGCAGCAGCAGCAGCAGCAGCTAGCAACAACAATGAGGCCGTCAAGCATCCAGCTACAACAACAACAACTATGAAGAGTGCTCTAGTCGAGAGAGAAAGACTAAGAAATACTCATTAAAGATAAACACTTAAATATAGTTCATTATAAAATCATATTAATCAACTGACACTCAACTGAATCTTTGTCTAGATGAATGACAAAATATTATCAAAAGATCTCTCTGTTTAAAAATGTATATAGATTCATTCATGAACTATCCATTGCTTATATAACATTTCTATGTAAGTGTCGATAAATCGAAATGTTCATCTATAACCTTTGGTATACCCTCCGCCTCCGTCGAGCATAGGGTGTAGAAGAGTTAACGGCATTGCTCAGCTCAGCTCTTTTTCTTTTCCTTTTCCTTTTGATTTTGCTTTGGCTTTTTTTTTTTTATCCAGCAGCGCTTTGACTATTTTCTTTTCGACGGCCCCTACGAGTGGCTGCGTCGTTCAGTGTGCATCTCAGTGTGGGCCTCTTATGTAATCGGGGGCTGTTGCTGCTTTTGTTGCTGTTGTTGTTTTTGTAAAAGATGCCTTTTCTTTTGTTGTGCGGCTGATGACCAAGTTAAGATATAATGTTTGTTATGTTGCGCTTATTAACGTGGCCTACAAAAATTGTGTTTTGCGTTTGCTGCTGTTTAAACGATTTTTC